AAAAAAAAAAAAAATTTGTCCCTGAGGAAGGACATCAACTCAGAAGGAAATGTCAGCTTTGCCTTGCAACCTCAGTAACATTCGTATATTTATTTAATTCAACAGACCTTTATTGTATGCCTGTGCTATCCTGGGGATCAAAATCCAACTGACATGTTCTCTCTTCTCAAAAGGCTACAGGCGTTTTAGAATGATAACGCGCTAACTATGAAGTATTCTTCTTGCATAAAAAGAAGCTTAGAATGTAAGCTCCATGAGTACAGGAATTTAGTATATCTCGGGCCTAGAACCGTGCCTGGAAAGAACAGCACTCAATAAATTTTGGCCTTCGCTATGCCACTCTTCTCCTAGGACTTGAACCAGGCTTCAGTGGTTTCCCTGCATTGCTGCCCTTAGATTCCCTGATGCCTCACTTTGCCAGTCTCTATCATAGCACTGGTCGGTACCCTACACATGGAAAATGCTATGGGAGCCCCAAGAGTTAACAGGAGTGAGATCTGGGGAGCACTTTGTCAACCAGGCTGTCAAAGGAGAAGACTCTGGCCTGTACATGTGTTACCTGCTCCTTGGAGAGCTTGACGTAATCTGCCATAACAAACCAGTGGACGTTCTCAGTACAGGGAGGTGTGGTGAGCGACCCATTGTAGCTAAAGTAGTGCGCAAGGTCCACCGGCAGCATGTCCTTAATGTCCAGGCCAGTCAGGGTTGTGCTTTGTCCTAACCAAGAAGACAGGAGCGGGAGGAGTATAAGGGACTGCTGCTGCCCTTGGGGAGACAGCTCAGGCCTCACCATATTCAAATCTCCTGATTAAGCAGGAAAATATAGAAGCTGATCATTGGGAAACAAGGGGTTAAGAGGAGAGATTTGGGGGATATTGGCTAGCGACTCACTCTGAGACTATTGCTGTCTGTAAGAAAGGGGCAATCAGCCTGACTGTAGTGAGGGTAAAAGGGCGGGACAACCAGCCTGATTGGCGTGAAGGCAAAGAGGCGGGACAACTAGCCTGATTGGCGTGAAGGTAAAGGGGCGGGACAACCAGCCTGATTGTAGTGAGGGTAAAGGGGCGGGACCACCAGCCTGATTGTAGTGAGGGTAAAGGGGCGGGACCACCAGCCTGATTGTAGTGAGGGTAAAGGGGAATAGTATTCACAAAGTGGCTGGTGCATGGACCTAGTACAGAGGGACCGACCCGGAGTGTAGCAGCCATCGCATCCTCATTGTGCCTTCTGGAGGCAGAAGGTATAGAAGACCACCCCAAGTTTCTGTCCAGGTGGGATGAGGAGGGCTTTGCTTTGGACATTCATTTCAGCTTGGAGCTGGAGTGGACCTCTCTCTAGTGACCATGACTGTCCTTGCCAGCTGGTGTCAGAGTAGAGAGTGAAGTGAGGACATCGTTTCTTAGGGGAACGCCAGCCATCCAGAAGTTTCATTCATGTGAATCGACAAGTAGAACTTGTCACCAGGTTTCTCAGAGGTGTCTGCTGGCTCAGCCAACAGCACCAGTCACTGGCACAAGTGATCTCAGGTAGGGACGGGTGGGCCGCCTTGGCAGGGCCTCGTAGCCACCCTGCCCCCAGCGTCACCCTTCTTCCCCCCGACCCCTGTCATCCTCATATGCAGTCCTCTTCCCTTACCTGCATACTTGATGTTGGCCAAATGAGAAATGAAGTCATCATAGTAAGTGTTTTCAGTGTGATCCTTCACCTGTAGGAGAGACACTGTAATTAACTGAAGTGTGGCAGAGGCCTCCTGCCATCTCTGCTTGTCCACCTGCTTAGGTATCCCGCTGATGGGGCAGAGCTGAAAGAGTGAGGAGGAGACGGCCCATCCCCCAGTTGTGTCAGGGATACCATCTGGCTATTCTTTGCCACTAACTGCCTGGCCTCTTCAGTGTCTTTGAGCAAGGCATTATCTGAAGCATTCCAGCAGCTTGCAGGGAAAGGATTGTCTCCGTGAGGGGTGATAACCCCAGGAATGGCCAAAAGTCACAGTTAGAAAAAAACCCAGGTGTGCTTGTTTTGTGTGGTGTCAGCCACAGTTGGAGGCTTTGTGATGAGGGAGGCTTAGCGTCATGAGCTCTTGATGCTTGTTAGTAATCTACAGGATGTGTTTCCCCAGTATGCAGCCACTGACGGCTCGGCTCAGTTTTTAAGCTTTATTTTTATATTTTAGCCTGAATCCCTGGGAGTCACCTAGGGTCAGCATGGCTCTGTGGTCAGTCCATGCTTTCGGCAGAGGTTGTGGGCAAACCCCTCCCACCTTCTGCTGATGGATCTGTGTACGGGCTGAGAACCACATGCCAGGTTCAGCCAGTCCTCATATTGCCTTCAGCGTTTACTTTCCACAAGGTCCTGTCAGGGAGTTTACACAATTCTGGGCCTCTCTCACTTCTAGGATCTTCCTCATTAAATTTCTGTCACTCTCCACTCATGCTACCCGAGCCTGCAGAGCTTCAGGCTCTTCCTGTCTGCTTACTGTGTCTTCTGCCAAGTTGGCTAGTCTTCCTGGCTGTGTCCCGGGTGTAGGTTTTCAACTTCGACCCCAAGTTAAGTCAGCCCTGCTGCCCAGGCAGTGAACCTGCTGGTTTTCCTGACCAGCCCTGCCCTGATGAAACCTCCCTGCAGACCAAGTTAGAGGGTAGGCGTGGGGACAGCCCCAGGGAAGACGGCCACAGTCACTCATTGTTCTCACTCAAAATTCCAGCCATTTTTCATTAGGAAAAATGGTGGGTTGGAACCCAGCTGTTTATTGGTTGCCATTGATCAATTTCTAGACCACTGAAACAATGAGGTTTTTTTTATTTTGTTTTGTTTTTCTGAGACAGAACCTCAGTAGAGTGCTATAGCGTCACAGCTCACAGCAACCTCCAGCTCTTGGGCTTAGGTGATTCTCTTGCCTCAGCTTCCCGAGTAGCTGGGACTACAGGTGCCCACCACAACGCTTGGCTATTTTTTGTTGCAGTTTGGCTGGGGCTGGGTTCGAACCTACCACCCTCGGTATATGGGGCCTGCACTCTACTCACTGAGCCACAGGTGCCACCCTGAAATGATGTTTCTTAATAATTTAATAATCTTATTCAATTTATTTATTTATTTTTTTTATTGAATGGTAACTATGTACATTAATGCACTTCTGGGGCACAGTGTGGGGTTTTCACACACAATCTGAAACACTTCCATCAAACTGGTTAACATAGCCTTCGTGTCATTTTCTTAGTTATTATTTTAAAACGTTCACATTCTGCTCTTAGAAAGATTCACTTGTACCCTTGTAAGATAAACCTCAGAAGTGATCCCTAATTTTATTCAATTTAATGCTTGTTTTGTGGGAATTAGACTCCTGACTATTTCTAGGCACCCATCCCCAAGTCCCACTCTCTAGACTTTCTTAGAAACACAGGTATTGCCGTGGTCTGGGTGGATTGCAGGCTTCCCCTTGCCCTTCAGACTAGTTTACGTCTAGACAATGCTTCAGCTCTTTTAAGTCAGCGTGTCACCGGGTGCAGTGGCTCATGCCTATAATCCTAGAACCCTGGGAGGCCAAGGCAGGTGGATCGCCTGAGCTCACAGGTTCAAGACCAGCTTGAGCAAGAGCGAGACCTCCATCTCTAAAAATAGCTGGGGACCTATAGTCTCAGCTACTTGGAAGGCTGAGGCAAGAGGATTGCTTGAACCAAAGTTTAAGGTTGCTGTGAGCAATAACACCATGGCACTCAACCCCAGGGCTACTAAATGAGACTGTCTCAAAAAAAAAAAAAAAAAAGCAGCTTGTCCAAGTTAATCAAGGTCCCCGAGCATGGTAACACAGAAAGGCCACAGGGACTGTGGGCTGGGACTTGAAAAAAAGGGTTGATCATCCATTAAACCAACATTGCCAAGAACCATGAACTTGGGCTTGGTGCCTGTAGCTCAGAGGCTAGGGTGCCAGCCACATGCACCAGGGCTGGTGGGTTGGAACCCAACTCAGGCCTACCAAACAACAACTACAACAACAACAAAAATTAAAAAATAAAAAAAATAGCCAGGTGTTGTGGTGGGCACCTGTAGTCCCAGCTACTTGGGAGACTGAGGCAGGAGAATCACTTAAGCCCAAGAGTTTGAGCTTGCCGTGAGCTGCGGCGCTATGGCACTCTACTGAGGGCGACATAGTGACACTCTGTCTCAAAAAAAAAATACCCTTTATGCCTTGTTTGTATTATCAGTCCACACCTTGGAATACAGGCACAGGCGCAAGTTTCTGCCTACCTCAATGAAGGCTGCCATCACGGCCAAACCATTCGGTGCGTCTTTGGCGATATCGTAGCTCTGGTATTTAGAATTGTAGTGAACAACATGAATCTGTGGCAACAAGATAGGGTGAGTCAGGGGCAGTTCCTACACACTTCAAATGCTTAAGGTGTCCAGGGAAGGAAGAAGAGAAAGAAAGGAGCTGCCCTCGAGGCCTCAGAATGCCCCAGACACAGGACTCGGACCTGGCTCCCTCCATCTCTGCTACGAGTTCCACCTATTAAGAGCAGAAACGTCTCCACAAATGGAAAGAGCAGGAATGGGATTCTGAAAAGGGGCAGTTCCAGGGAGTTCCCTTGGCCTACCTCCTTCAGGCAGACAAGCTGGCAGTCTGGGGGGCTCTTAAGAGTACCCTGGGTTCTCCTGAGGTATGTGGGGCTTAGAGAAGAATGAGCATGACTCCTTTGCCCTCAAAGCCACCGTAAACCTGCAGTCGCCCTAAGGCCAGATTCTGGCAAAAGAGGGAACCCAGAAAATCTAACACATTGGAGAGCCAGCTAAAACAGAGGGCTTGCTGCCCCGTGGGCTGTAAATGCCTTTATGCTGTGAGTGCTGTGCAGGCAGGAACCCTGCTCGTCCTTCCAGAACACAGCAGTGATCGGTCAATAGTTGTCAAGCGAATAAAAAATAAATTCGGCCTCGAGGTAACTTAACTCTCCCCCATTATACAGTCTTTTGGCTATTTTTTTTTTCTTGCAGTTTTTGGCCAGGCTGGGTTTGAACCCACCACCTCCAGCATATGGGGCCTACTCCTTTGAGCCATAGGCACTGCCCGCCTTTTGGCTGTTTTAATAAGAAAGGTGACTATGGAGTTTGAAGAAAAGAAAGCCCCAATAGGGTCCTCACATACCTCGGACATATGTCTGGCCCCATCGACAGTGTGCTCAGAGCCGCTCATCTCCGAGGATCCGCCTCCCCAGTGAAAGTGCATCTGCTGGGCTATGTACTTGGTGCCATCCGGGGCCCTCAGGTGCATGGTAGGGGGCAGGCTGATCTGAACTGGGAGAGACAAGGCAGAGCTGGGGCAGGGCAGGGAGGCATGGCTAGGTCAGGCCTACAGGTTAAGTGGCTTCTTCCCGGGGCTGCCTCCTGCCTGCCTGTACCCAGGGTAAGCCAGTACCAGGAACTAGCATAGAGTGCCATGAGGAGGGTCATCAAAGGCAAGGGGGACTAGCATGCAGGACTCAGGGTAAGGTCAGGCACTGTGGAAGCTGGGTTGGATAGGCACAGCTCCCTGCCCAGAGCCAGCAGGTCAAGGGCAGGACCACACAGCAGCAAATCCAGCTTCTTTAGCCCTAGGGAAAGGAAAACCCTGAAAAAATACAACCAGGGCAGGCGCAGTGGCTCATACCTATAATCCCAGCACTCTGGGAGGCTGAGGTGGGTAGATCGCCGAGCTCAGGAGTTCAAGACCAGCCTGAGCAAGAGCAAGACCCAATCTCTACTAAAAATAGAAAAACTTGCTGGGTCTTGTGGTGGGCGCCTATAGTCCCAGCTACTCTGAAGGCTGAGGCAAGAGGATCACTTGAGCCCAAGACTCTGAGGTTGCTGTGAGCTGTGACGGACGCCACAGCACTCTACCCAGGGTGACAGAGACTCTGTCTCAAAAAAACAAACAAACAAATATATATATACATATATATATAGTCAATGGATATGGAAACCAGAATTCCACTCGTCACCTCTGCCCAAATTTGGAATTTGCCCAAGGAGTAGAAATAGAAAGTGGGGCCTCTTGGGACTATTTTTATTAACTTTACTACCCAGAGTTAATATTGTTTGTAAGGCCAAGTGGAGGCTGCTGTCCTCTTCATAACATGGTTAAAAGCCACATCCTATGTGGCCTTCTCCAGCCAGCCCAGCTAACAGCTGGCTCCATCCCTGCTGGGCTTCCACAGTTGCATTTTACCTCAAGGAAGCTGACCCCCGGAGGAGAAAAGACTGGCTCAAAGGCACACAGATAACATCAATCAGGAGCAGAGCTGCACGGAGAACTGTGTCCACAGCAAGTCAGGAACACCCAAATTCTTGGCTTGGGATTTAATTTCCTGTGATTGTCAATGGTTGATAATATTAGACTTTTGGCTGGGCGTGGAGGCTGACGCCTGTAATCCTAGCACTCTGGGAGGCCGAAGCAGGTGGATTGCTTGAGCTCAGGAGTTTGAGACCAGCCTGAGTAAAACAGCTGGGCATTGCAGTGGGCGTAGTCCCAGCTACTCAGGAGGCTGAGGCAAGAGGATCACTTGAGTCCAAGAGTTTGAGGTTGCTATGAGCTATCACACCACAGCACTCTACTGAGGGCAACAAAGTAAGACTCTGTGTAAACTAAACTAAAATAAAATAAAAATAAATTTTAAAGTCATTGGGGTTCGGGCACAGTGGATCATGTCTGTAATCCTAGCACTTTGAGAGACTGAGGCAGGAGGATCACTTGAGGCCAGGAGTTCAAAGACCAGCCTGTTCAACACAGTGAAAACCTATCTTCACAAAAAAAATAGTAATAATAAAATAATTAGCCAGACCCAGTGGCATACCCTATAGTCCCAGTTGCTCAAGAGGCTAAGGATCATGTGAGCCCAGGAGTTGGGGGCCACTGCGAGCTGTGATCATGCCTCTGTACTCCAGCCTGGGCAACAGAACAAGAATCTGTCTTTTAAAATAAATAAAAAGAAAAATAAGTAATAAGGTGATTGAAAATAATTACAAATAAGTAAGTGTTCTTAAAGATCAAATATTAAGGCTCGGCGCCTGTGGCTCAACCAGCTAAGGCGCCAGCCACATATACCTGAGCTGGCGGGTTCGAATCCAGCCCAGACCCACCAAACAACAATGATAGCTGCAACCAAAAAATAGCCGGGCGTTGTGGCAGGCGCCTGTGATCCCAGCTACTTGGGAGGCTCAGGCAGGAGACTCGTTTGAGCCCAGGAGTTGGAGGTTGCTGTGAGCTGTGATGCCACAGCACTCTACCCAGGGTGACAGCTTGAGGCTCTGTCTCAAAAAAAAATCAAATATTAAGTATTTGGTCCTATAATTTCCACATTGTCTAAAGGAGCAGGCAGCTCTGATTAAATTCATAACGTGATGTGCTGTAATGCAGGACTCTGGCCTCAAAGATTTTAACAAGCCCTTGGCAGAACAAGTGCTTTGATTTAGAGCTCAAATGTGGCCTGCCTCGAAAATCAATGCTCACAAGAAGAAGATGGACAAGCCTTTAGGAGGAGTTGGGCAAGAGCTGACAGCAGCCTGAGAGGTCAGGCCAGAGCTTCCCAAATGAATAGTTAGCACCACACGAGCAATTAGGGAGACCCTGACAATTGCAGTTCCCCAAAACACAGCTCCCAGGAGGCAGACCATGTCAATTCTGGTTGTACCGACAGGCCTGCACAGGCCAGATTGGAAGAGAGCAGCAATTCCGAGCTTGTCACTGTGCTTTTGAAAAGGTGAAGCTGAAATGCCTATCTGCAAAAGTCAACTCACTCCACCTTCCAGATCAGAAAATGGATTCAACTTCCAGGAGAGGCTGCTCCCCTTCACAGGAAACCACTTTCACAAGTGTCTCAGCAGACCAGAACAACCATGTCAGCCAAGCATTTGGCTGTGTTCAAGAAATAACCAGAAGCTGGGCGTGGTGGCTCCCGCCTATGATCCCAGAACTCTGGGAGGCCAAGGGAGGTGCATTGCCTGAGCTCAGGAGTTCAAGGCCAGCCTAAGCAAAAGCGAGACACACACACACCCCATTTCTACTAAAAGTTGAAATGTTAGCTGGGTGTCCTGGAGGGCGCCTGTAGTCCCAGCTACTCAGAGGCTGAGGCAGGAGATTGCTTGAGCCCAGGAGTTTGAGGTTGCTGTGAGCTATGACGACACCACTGCATTCCAGCCTGGGCAACAAAGCGAGACCCTGGGCTCGGCGCCTGTGGCTCAAGTGGCTAAGGCGCCAGCCATATATATCTAAGGTGGCGGGTTTGAATCCCCAGCCCGGGCCCGCCAAACAACAATGATGGCTGCAACCAAAAAGGCCGGGCGTTGTGGCGGGCGCCTATAGTCCCAGCTACTTGGGAGGCTGAGGCAGGAGACTCGCTTGAGCCCAGGAGTTGGAGGTTGCTGTGAGCTGTGATGCCATGGCACTCTACCCAGGGGGATAGCTTGAGGCTCTGTCTCAAAAAAAAAAAAAAAAAAAAAAAAGCAAGACCCTGTCTCTAAAAATAAATAAATATTCATACATTTCTGGGCTCCTGGCCACATAACCTAAGTCCTGTTACAGACATGACCTTGCTACCTTCACCACCCCCATAAAGGACAATTGGTATTATTTTCTTGATTATACAAATAGGAAAACCAAGTCTGGTGACTTCCATGCACCTGTGTGGCAGGCAGTAAACTCACCCAAGTTATCCAAGGACACAGCCATGGAATCAGGCATCTAGGGTCTGAGTCCAGCTTGGCCATTAGAGACTGTGTGACCTTGAGTGAGTCCCTGGCCCCCTGAGACTTCAGGTTTCCCACTTGAAACGTGCCCCTCTCTATGGTACTATCAAGCTCAGAGGGAATAAGCCCATGTGGGACGCCAGGAAGACGCTCTGCAAACAAAGCGTGGACTTTACAGGTGCCCAGATGGGCTCCCTGCATGGAGGTCCCCATAATCCAGCTTTTCCTGTCTGACCTTCCCCGCTTTCTAGTAAGGAACAAACTAGAGCTTTCTTTTGAACCCCCTGAGAAATCCTGGGCCTTCAGGAGCTTTGAGTTAATCAGACTCAATATGGAGCATATGGAAAAGCAGCCCAGGGCATGGAGGCAGAGAAGACGCAGGGGAGAAGCTGCCTCCAGCAACGTGGCCTGTCCTGCCTGGCACTGGCCAGGCGGGTCTGAGTGAGCATGGTGAGAGAGGACAATGTGACGAGAAGGTGCCAGTGGGGAACCAGGTCTCAAGACAAGATACTGCCTGACTTTGAAAGAGCTTCCGCTGTCTGGGCCTCAGTGCCTGTCAGTCCTCTCCTCTGAGGCCTCCAGTTCTGAGGCTGCACTCTGAGGCTCTGAGAGGGCCACTCCCAGCAGGTGCACATGTCACCTGCCAGGGCTGTCCGTGGACTGGTGCCTCTTGCCCACCCTTACCTGTGTGGCCGTTGTTAACCATGGAGAACTCTCCCTCCTGGGTGTCGTAGCCCGTCAGGTTGAGCGCTTTCAGGGAGGGGTTGTAATGCACCTTCCTTGTCTGCAGGTTGATGGGTGACTGTCTCTTCCCCCCGCAGGCGGGGTATTCCTTGGGCCAGTGTGCTTGATCCAGCGCCCCCTCTGAGACAGGAGAGAGCAAGTCACAGTTCCAGGGGCCACTAGCTGAGAAGGCACCTCCCAGGCAGGAGGCCAGGGCCCAGGGGCCCCACACTGTGCCTGCGTGTATGTGACCTCCAAGGACTCTGACAACTGGGGACCTTGGGTGCCAATGTCTCCCTTTCCTGTGACTTAGTGTTTTGAACACAATGAAAGTATTTGACACGTCACTTTTTTCTCTCCTTTGAATTATGTCCAGCTGATAAATGCATCAATGTGATCCTTGGCTTGGGGTGACTGTGCTGCTTCTTCTCCCTGTGCTGCAAGACTCCCCCCATTTTCTTGCTCCGGCCCTTTTTATGGGCCCCCAGTAGGGTGAAGACCACCTGGGCATCTACACCTGTAGCATCAGGGCGACTAGGGAAGCAGCAGGTTCAGAGAAGACCTAGTGTGATTAATTTTTTTTAAAATTAGAGGAAGGAAGTTTATCTTTTCAGAGATGATTAATAATTACAGGGGACAGAGTCATGAAGGCTTCAGCTGTCATTACGAGTGAATTAGCCCGCAAACAGCTATAGGTCTTGGTTTCAGCCATTTCCAATTGAAGATACGACCTTTCTCCGCCTTTCACAGTAGCTCTGTGGTGAGCCTGTAGCTTGTTCTAAGAAAGGTGCTGTACTGGGGCCGCTCAGAGCTTCTTGGTTTACAATCGATGGAAAAGTCAAATCTTTATTTCTCTGCTCTTCACTATTTAATGATTCAAACCAATTTTTTTATGAGACAAGAGTTTTACTCTGTTACCCCAGACTAGAGTGCTGTGGCATCATAGCTCACAGCAACTCCTAAACTCAGTAATCCTCCTGCCTTAGCCTCCCAAGTAGCTGGAACTATAGACGTGCACCACCATGCCTGGCTAATGTTTTTATTCTTAGTAGAGATGGGGGTATTGCTTTTGCTCAGGCTGGTCTTAAACTCCTGAGCTCAAACAATCCATGTGCCTCGGCCTCCCAGAATGCTAGGATTATAGGTGTGAGCCACCACACCTGGCCTTCAAACCATTTTTAAGCAATTCTTTCCTATAGGCAGAATGCCAGGACCAAGTCGAACCGCCTCTACTGCAGCCTCTTCTGGGTCCAAAACGCTCTGGCCCAGGTCTTGCCAGTCGTGGGGCATCTCTCAGTTGTTCCTGGGAGGTATTGGCAAAAGCCACCCCCCAAGTTCCCCGGGGGCTTCCAGTGGCTTTCCAGGAAGCCCAGAGTCTCCCAGGTTGGCTGACCAGGGGAGGACAAGACCTTTATCACCTGTGTTCTCTGTCTCTATTCTGTAACTTCTGAACTATACCAAGTACCACTTGGCTAGAAGGGGCAGAAAGCCCCAGAGTCTTCAGAGCCCCAGGCAGGTGGGGACTCCTCTGCTTGAGAACAGAGCAGTTGGTTAGAAGTGGCTCTCTGAGCTGGACTGAGCCTCCCCAGGATGCCCCTAATACCATTGCCTTTGGTTTAACGGGACATGCCCTCCACCCTGAATGAGCACTTTCTGTGTGCCCGAGGCTGGAGCAGGTTTTGCAGATGGCAGGCTCAGCACCATGTTTGCACCTGCCTCCTGCCTCCCACCTGCCCCCATCTGCCAGTAGCCACCAGCCTCCTCTGGGGTCCCACACCACGGTCCAGCTCAGAAGGGAAGGGGCCAGGAGCAGGAGCTCCCGCACTGGCACACAGAAGGGGTGTTCAGTGTTCCAAAGCCCACGGGCACCATCTTCTTTGCTTTGGCTCACATGTGGGTCAGAACCCATCTTAAATGCCAGGATTTTAAATTTCACATTTTAAAAATCTGTTTTTGGGAGGCTGGAGATGATCTAAAGGAAGTTCTTAGAAGGAAGCTTTCCCAAAGCCTGCAGCAGCTTCTGTGAAGCTACCAAAAGTCCCTTCTAAGAACCTTATTCTCCACTTACATAGACCAACAAAGCAAGTTGTTTTTTAAGTAGAATCAAATTTATGCAGGTGGGTGGGACGGTGTGGCTCACACCTGTAATCCCAGCACTTTGGGAGACCAAGGCAGCAGGATCACTTGAGGCCAAGAGTTTGAGACCAGCCTGGGCAATAGGGAGACCCCGTCCATCTCTATAACAAATTTAAAAATTAGCTGTGCCTATATTCTTAGCTACTCAGGAGTCTGAGGCAGGAGGATCACTTGTGCCCAAGAGTTTGAGGCTGCTGAGAGCTATGATTGGGTCACTCCAGCCTGGGCAGCAGCCAGTCTCAAAAATAATAATAATAATAATAAGCAACGATTAGGTTCAAACCAGCTAACACAGCGGGTGGAAAAGGTTTCAAACCAAAAAGTCTATGGGTGAATCAGCTTGGTGACAGGAGAAAGTTCTTTCCTCTTTTCCTTAATCAAAGTTTACGTCTGGCTTGTTCTCCGTATGTTCCAGACCAAACCCTCCAGGAGCAGACACCCACAGAAAGTGTGTGGGCCTCACCTCTCGTGAGGGGCAGGTCCTCCCGTCCATGTTACAGGGGTGGGGGGCTTACCTGAGTAGGTCCACTCAGACCCATGCTGGGCCTGGGTGCCCAGGAGAAGCAGAGACAGAAGAGGCACCAGGGCCCTCATGGCGCTGCAAGTCTGTGATCAGGACCGATTCAGGGGGAAGCTCTGCTTTTAAAGGCTCGAAAACTGTAAATAACAATTTAGCAAGTCCAGCCAGCTGATCCACCCTTTGCTGCACCCACTCAAACAATAACAGCCTCCCACAATGGCCCTTCTGACTTCGTTTGCCAGGCCAGGTAGCCTGAGCACTTGGCCAGTCCCCTCCCGAGGCATTACCATATCCAGTTAGCCCCCGGGGTTGGTTGTTTAATGTCTTACCTTCGGAAAAGTCACCTGAAGGGCCACACAGTACAGTCATTGTGGACAGGTGGCCACCGGAGGGGAAAAAGGCCCAAGGTAGGCGGAGGTAGCCTTCCCTGAAAAGCGGCACTTCCTGTGCCCTTTTCCCCAACCTTGGAGATCTGGGGATGCCAGGGGCATCACAAGTGCCTGCAAACCCTGCCAGCTTCCATATAGTGCCTCCTTCCTGCCTCAGTACTGGATATGAGCCATTCCTACAGGCTGGCGGCTGCCCTTGGCCAGGCACCTGGGGGAATGGCCTGGCCACCAGATGTGCACATGAGAGGGAGGGTCCTAACTAGAGGCACAGAGGTGCCACTCCTCGCCTTAAATCAGTTCTTGCTCCCAAGTCCCACCTGAGCTAGGTGTGGGCATCCGTGGTCCTCTGTGGATTTGTTCTCACAGGTATAGAACCCTTGGACAGTCAACAGAGGTCAACCCATAGATCCACTTGGCTAAATAGTCCTTGAACTTAACTGCAGGAAACTGTGAGTTTATACCCGCTGACAGGCCAGCTTCTCCCTGTCCCTTCACCAAGGGCATTGGCAAAGAGCAGGCCGAGGCCTGCAGGGTTTTCACCATGCTGGCCAGATGCAAAGGCGGGTCCTGCTCCATGGAGCATCTCCATGCCCTCTGCTCATTTGCCCCTGGAATGGCAGTGTCACCTTCACAACCAAGATATTGAAGACAAGCGTGGGATCTCCTGGGTTGTCAGTGAATTAGAGAACATTTGCTGCTGCAAAGATCTTGCTGAAAGTAGATCCCTAACACTCAGGAGCTGAAGGAATCTTACAGAAAGCCACGCTTGTTTCAGAGACAGGATTCTGAAGCCAGACTGACCAGGGGTGCCACTTACTAGCTGTGTGACCTCGGGCAGGTCCTTAGCTATTCCTTGCCTCAGTTTTCCTGTCTTTAAGAGGAGTTCGTGACAGTATCTCCCTCCTGGGGATTCAGCAATAAATTTAAACGTGGTGGTGGGAGCACTACCTGGTGTGTGCCAGGTGGCACTGTCATCTATTCAGGCCCCTCATTTTATGGACAAAGAAGTGACTTAACATCGTCACCCAGTTAGTAAGGGATCTAGAGGTAAAAATGACTCTCCATCTCCAGTTCATTGAACTCTTTCTCACATTTGCAGAAATTATTATTATTTTTCTTTTTTTGAAGAGACAGGATCTCAAGCAGCTCTCCTGCTTTAGCCACCTTAGAGACCCACTTTGCTAAGTTTGTCACACCCTGTGTGCTAAGCTCCCCACCCTCCAGTATAGATCACGAGCCCCCAGCTCTGCTCGGGAGAGAAAACCCTCAGACAGGCTGAAGACCCTTGACAGTAAACTGGCAGGAAATCCCAAGCTGAGCTTTCTGAATTGGGGGGAGGGGGGCAGGGGGGCCTCACTGGAACCTGATATTGGGAAACAGGAAGAATCAGTGAGTTGCCGGTGGGCCAAGGCTGGAAGCTCCGGGCGTGCTGGAAGCCAGGGAGGGAGATGAGCCCAGGCCATGAAGCTGAGGAAGGGAGCACAGAGAGGGAGGGAGAAAGGGGGTGCTGGGGACTCAGAGGAGTTGGGGAAGCCGTCAGAGATGGGAGGGTTGGGTGGTGGGGAGCCTGCACAGCAAAATGGAGAAGGCTTCCAGCGTCTCCCCAGCCCATTTTCTGTGGGGTTTCATTGCCCTGCAGTGAGCTGTTTGGGGATCCCCAGGAGAGCTCTGGTACTTCTGTTGCCCCATGAGTCCCCTTAGAGGCCGTGTGCAGAGGGCCCAGCAGCCCTACCGTCAACACATCCACCCAGCAAGTCTCAGGCTGTGCCCTGGGTTCTCTGTGCCTTTGGCCAAAAGTGAGTAATTGAGGTCATGAAGGGATTGGATCAGCCAGACTCTTGAGCATAAGATCTATAAGACACTGCATCCCAAGAGGGACAGGGCCCCTCCCGCACACTCCCAGGGACAGTGACACGATGGACCCAAGGTCAGATAAGATCATTTCTGTTGCCTCATTTCCGACCCATTGTCTTCCTCAATCCTAAAATTTTCCATCAACTTTGACCACGAGTCTCCTCGCATTTGTCAGGCGTGGTGTTTGTTTTGGTTTGTTCTCCTCGCTGGTGTTTTCTCAGGGTGGCACTTTATAGTCTGAACTTCCTTCATCCACACACCCAGCCCATCAGTGCTGCTTTTTAATGCCTGTTTTCGTAGGGCTTATGGTTTGAGTGACTGTCTGAGGTGAACTGACGAGTCTGTCGTCTTCATTACAACAGAAGGTCAAAAGGGAGAAAGGTGCTTTTGTTCTCTGGTGCTACCCCTGCTTCACCTGAAGGCCACCGAGGCCAAATAAAGAAGAGGGCAGGGAGGTATGGTCAGCCCCGATGAGCAGGGAAGGACTATCCACCCAGATAAAAAATAGACAAGAACCACAGCCCAGGGGAAGAGCAAGGCATGGTCAGCCCAGGTGAGCTGGGAAGGCCTGTGAGGCCAAGTAAGCAGTGAACCACCAGTAATGCAGGTGAAGAGCCAAGGCATGGTCAGCCCAGGTGCACGTGTGACGAATGAGGACCCCAGATGAGCAGGGAGGCACCATCAGCCCACGTGAACCAGCGTTCAGGTCTGCACAGGCCTGGCACAGAAGCATGCTCCTGACTACATGAGAATGTGCATCTTCCGGCTGTAAGTGACACACACAGGCCATTGTTCTGTTCACGCAGGAGCAGCAGCTCTCTGGAATCCTCAATAATGACTCATTCTGCACAAGCGAGTTTTCTGGGTGGTTGAAGGCTCCGTCCCACACAAGCCTCAAGGCATTTACCCCATTTGGGGTTAAAGCTTTTAAAATCTATCACACTTTGCCTCCTTTTAAAGTAGATTAAACTGATGTTATTAAATAACATTTGGCTGGACTTCCCTCTGCCTCCAAGAGTCCCAGTGATCTATCAGTTATTATCCTGGGACCAGTGCGGTGGCTCACACCTGGAATCCCAGTACTTTGGGAGGCTGAGGCGGGTGGATTGCCTGAGCTCACAGGTTTGAGACCAGCCTGAGCCACAGCGAGACCTCGTTTCTAAAAATAGCCAGGAATTGTGGCAGGCGCCTGTAGTCCCAGCTTTGTGATACAACGGTACTCTACCAGGGGCAACAAAGTGAGAGACTCTGTCTCAATCAATCAATCAATCAATCAAATAAATCAAAACACAATACTTGTCTCTCAGGTTAATTTACATGTGAATCTGTCACCCCTACTGATGCATCCTCCCTAGTAACCACTTGCTGCACCCACATTCCTCATTCCTCCCTCCCTTCAAAAAGGTATCTATAAAAGTATCTGACCATCAGTAAGACATCAGGTAATTAGCTGGGTGCAGTGGCCCCTGCCTGTAATCCTAGCAATCTGGGAGGCCGAGGCAGGTGGATTGCTTGAGCTCTGAAGTTCAAGACCAGCCTGAGCAAGAGGGAGACCCTGTCACTACTAAAAATAGAAAAACTGAGGCAAAAGATCACTGGAGCCCAAGAGTTTGAGGTTGCTGTGAGCTATGATGCCACAGCACTCTACTCAGGCTGGCAGCTTGAGACTCAAAAAAAAGAGAGAAAGACCTTGAGTAATGACTTTGGTGGTTTCCTCCATGCGCATGGTATTTGGAAATATACCTTTCTCTTATTAATCTGCCTTAATTGTGAGTTGATCCTTCTGTGAACCAACCAAGGGAAAGGGGTGAGTTTCACCGTGATCCCTATACCCACATCCAAAAACACTCACCCCCAAGCTACCAAGGAAATCCTTTTCTCTGTTACTAATCTAGGCAGAAGCAAAATAGGAACCAAACTCTAACACCCTTTTTGGCTCAGCCTGCCATCCATATTCGATGTGCCTTTGCTGTGCAAACTCACCATAGGTCCTGCTATTGGAACTGGACGGTCCGGTTGTGTCTCCTACTGACTGTGGCCAAAGTCTTGCTAATAACTTTTAATACACTTCACCCTTGGTTACTTCTATAGGGGAGGTTTATCTGTCTGGCAGCTCCACCTTTCACTGTTCAATAAGCAACTCTCAATCTATACTGAGTGCTGACTAACCCTCCCCTGATACCTAAGGGACTGGTTATGCAAGTAGAGGGCTGTAGGGTTTCCAGTCATCGCCGTAACAAATTGCCAAAACCTCAGTGTTTAACACACATTCACAGAGCTGAAGGTTGCTCATTGGAAATGAGTCTCACGGGGCTGAGCCAACCTAGAGGCTCTGAGGGGACAGTCTGCTCCATCATGCTTTTTCAGCCCTAGTGGCCACCTGTACCCCTGGGCTCCTGGCATTTTCCTCGAATTGCTCCCATCTCTTGCTTCCTCCTTTGATCCCAACTCCCTTTTATGAGGGTCCTTGTGATTACATTCAGGCCTACCCAGATAATACAGGATTATCTTGTCATCGCCAGATCCTTAACTCAGTCACATCCACAAATTTCCTCTGCCCTAAAAGGTGATATTTACGGATCCCCAGGGATTAGGACATGCCCATCGGGGAGAGCCATTCTTCAGCCTAACACAAGGATGCAGGGAAGCACTAAGCTAAGTCACAGCAGGAGCTGCTGGAAATTGGATTTAGACTTCAGAGAACAGAGTTATAACTCAGCCATGGCATGAAACAGCTAGGAAAGTGTGTAGGAACAAAGTGAACCAGGGCTAGCCTACAGGGTTAGTGCACAACTGCCAGGCATGCTCCACACTCTTCATGGCCACAGGGGTGT